CACTGAAAAGTGTTTTCTCTTATAGTAGATCAAATTGTGTGTGAAATTCTAAAATAGATGTTGTCTAAACTACAGAGTATTTTTAAGCAGATTCAGTCCTAATTTTGCGTTTAGCGAGGATCAGCAATACGAGCAATGAAAAGGGGCATCTGCAGGAAGGAGTCGTAAATGGCACAGTAGAAGGGTTGGTCGACAATGAAGGGGACAGATGGTGGGGGCAAGGACATTGGTAGTATCTCAATGCTGCTGACAGCAGCTGCTTTAACGCCGGCCTCGTCCACTTCCATCACTGCCACCTGCTTGGCTTCTCCAGCATAGAGTCTCGGGTGGGAACTTATGCCTATGCAAAGGTAGCAGTATAAGATAATTTGTATCTTGAACTTTTAATTTCATTGCTATTAATCAGAACAGTTTTTGCCCATGGAGGCATAGGATATGAAGGAGTAGATTCGTAGCATTCCATGACATAGGAATTTCGTTTCATTAGAGTGAATGACTTTCAATTCTAGCTCAAGGTATATTCCTGCAGCAAATAGATTTACAAATACAAAAATGCGTAAATTTGTTCACCTGTCAGTTCAGCAGATTCTTGAGCAAAAAAACGTCGTACACCAAGTAGACGAAGAACAGATTTCAGATTGATTTCGTGCTCAACCTTGAATTTTGGTAGCCCAAGCTCAATATGCGTATAGTTACGATCACTTTGAATCAGTCTCCAGTTAAAATCTCCATCTTCCAAGTCATTTTCAATTTCGTTGAGGTTAAACCGTTCATTTGGCAGGAAGATGACAAACTTATAGCGATAATTCTATATTAATAAAGGACAGTAAATTTAGATATGTGCTCTACTGAAATCGTCTCTTTCGTGTAGCCATCGGTTTCAAAAAATTTATAAATAATCATACTCTAAATGGTTTTGCAACGACTTTGAATCTGTCTTGTTTTAGATAAACCATTTGAGTTCCCAAATGCATCATAGGGACCTTCACGGATACACCCTTTTTCAGGTAGAAATCACGTTTTACCGTATTCTCCACCATAAAGGTTTTGGCCCAATTATCTAAATTGGAAATGGAATAGGTCTTACTTCTCAAAAAGTACAGCTGTCTATGAAACAGCAGATTACTCACCTTTAAAAGCTATTGCGCTCAACAGGACCATAAGAGTGTCGGAGCTTAATTCGTCCTTCGACTTTAAAAAGTGCTCAATAAGGCCGTCCGTGGAAGAACATGACCATTCATTAATTTTTTCAAACGCTTCAGAGGTGTTAAATAATACCTTAAATGACCCTTAAGCTGAATATGTTGAATTCTCACCTGTTTTACGCGATCTTCTCCAAATCCGGCAAACCTCTCCAAGAAACCTGGATAAATGTGGAGCCCTTTCCGTAAGAAAACAGCATTCGAAAGCGACAGTATCTTTTTGCCGTCTTCTGTCTTCGAATTTGCGGCGCCTGTGCGAATTCTGTCAAGCTTTTGCTCAATGTTCGGATACTTCAAATCACTGCACGTTTCCTTCTCCCTCTTCCCAACGATTGCCTGGCAGATCTCTTTGGCAGTTTTACCCTCAGGGCCTTTCGAGGTGAGGAGAGCAGACAGCAGTACCAACACACTCAGTGGCGAAGCTACGTAGTTCCCCACGTTTCCTACATGCAGCACGTTAAGAAGAATTTGGTTTAAATGAAAACCATTTGTAATTACAATATTTTGGGCCACAAGTACCATGAACATGATTAGGAAAGTAAAAGAGAATTCTTAGTTAAGACTGCTTTCTCCTCGCGAATGCTCCCAAATAAAACGGTAATTTTAATCAGACTGAATTAGCACGATTTACTTACCATTGGCCTTCAGTGATGCTTTAAAAAATCCAGCATTGAAATCGTTGTGGGTGATGATTTCGTTTGACGACCTCTTGCACATTTGGATCTAGGGTAACAAATCATTATTTAGGGTGGTTGCAATCAACTCTTTCTAGGCCAAAATGATTCTGTTTTAATAGAATTTAGCTGTGAGCGTTGAATTTTAACATATAATGACATAAATGTAATAATTCATCTTAGATACTTTTGATGATCTTGCTTTCCATGAGAGTTTCTCTCCACGCATTTCCCATATTAAGAATTAGTAAACTGTTTTGAATGCAAAACTTCTTACCAGAGTTTTCTTTCTCATATCATAAAAGTATGAATCCTTACAAAGTACATTTGGAGAATGAGGTGTATTGAAAATAGGAAAGGGCAATATAAAGTGAAGTATTTTAAAACAAGAGTAGACCGGTCAACTATGTGACATCTTCAAATTCGCCGTAAAAGCAGCACAACTGGTAAAAATAATTGACCTACCAGCCCACTTCTTAACGCGAACCTCTAGCTCCAACTACATTTATACCCACCTCAACGGTCTCCTTATTGGTCAAGGGTAGGTTGTGGTCAGTGCGCAGTGTTATAATAACTTTAATCAGCATTCTTAAGGGCTTACCAACAGTGCTTTAACTTAGGGTGAACTCTAGGAATCAAGCCATTCCTAATTTTGTCCCATCTTAAATGAACTCCTTATCCTACAAATAAGGAATTCCAAACATGGGTTTTTGCAACTGAGATCAATAAGTAATGTTATATGAGTTTCTGAACCCGGACAAATGACCGTTCTACTTTCTTCAATGCTGCCGATAATCACTATTGTTTCCATTGTTTGACAAAAAAATCAGATGCTATCGTGATGCTCCGTTGGTTGAGTGATAGAGTAAAGTAAAATTAACACCAATTCAAAGTGCCATCGACGCCAAGAGATCATTTCCTCCCAAAAAAGACGTAATTTAGACTCTTGAATAATAATGTGACACTGGAAGAATCCGTAATGTAGGTATTTTGAAAAGATAAGGAACAAAGCTGCTGATGAAAAATTACATGTTGTGAATGAACAATGATTTTGGCTTTCATCGGGCAATTATGCCACGAGGTTACTGGAACGTAATGGAGTCCAGGGAAGGGGGTTTGCATGTGCAAGTGTAACATTTATGGCCAATTTAGTGATCAGATGGTACTTCTGGGTAATCCAAGAAGTAATCTAATGATAGATGGTATCAGTCCGATTCTAAGGATTAGAAGTAGCTAAAATGGAATAACTTTAAGAAGCAATGTTATTTCTTCTTATCAAAATAGGTAGGGGCGTTCAAAAGTTCGGTTAGTGGCATTCTATTTTCAATGGCACCGGACAAAAATGTAAACTCTTTGATCTCCTAACGTGTTTTAGAGAAGCCTATAACATTGAGGTTTAGAAAGTCCTTTTGTTAAATCACTTAAGGGTATGCTTGATCATGATTAAAGGAATTTTGCGATTACCTTTTGGCAATGCAGAATTTCACATACCGTTCATTCCACAAAACTACCGTTTAGTAGTATACAGATTTTAACAGTGAATACAGTTTCAAAGCATGAATATACACAGCTAAGTACCTCAAATAAACAATACATAATAACCTCTCTGGATGTTCGAAAAATCTAATCTATTTGTTTGTACAAATGTTTGATAATAGTGGCCCTTGTCTTTCAATCACAGCTTATTACTAAAGTCTCAAATGTGACCCGACAAATACAATCGTCCTTAATCTCCGAGGATACATTTTTGCCGCACTATATTAATGCATATTTGACATGAAAATTCTATTTTGGCCAAGGAATGTCTTTTAAACTCGATCACTTAGCAAAACCCTGAATTGTGGGTGGAGAAAGTCATCTTCAAGTAGCTAGGCTTGGAAAACACATGATCTTTGAGTAATAAAAGTGAGCTCAAGTCCTTGGGGATCACAAATTACTTTTTTCGGTGCCTACGTATACACAGTCCCTTACTAGCACCCAAGTGCCGCAAGATCAATGTGAAATAATTTCCACTGAAATGGGTATAAAAGTTCACTGGTTATATATAAAACATTAAATTGCAGCAAGACACTATACATGGTCAACTAGCCACCTATTGACTGCATTAGGAGGTTAAGTGGAGTGATATCTTACACACGCGTTCCTGCTGAACTAGTGTCTGCAATATCGCTGACGGTCGTGACACCCACCGTTTATTCGTCAACTCTTTTCAACCTCGCGCACCAATGCGACACCAAGATTTTACCCTCGTAGAGTGAAGCGTGTAATCCGAAGTTGGCTAGACAAGATCATTGAGAGGTTCAAAAAGCGCCCACTACACATAAACAATTCGTAAAAAAATGTGCAAAACCAAAAATCATTTCAGCCCTTGTTACCAAAGTCAGTCCACCTCAACGCGTTCTCCTCCATGTCGGTTTATCAGTTATTACTTTATACCAATTTGCTGCGTCTGCTAATGAGGCTCACCACATTTGCAATTCTCTTATCCTGTACGACGTGTCATGCTCTAAATCTTCTTTTTAACGCTCCCTCTTTTTGTTAAAACCTTTAACAGAACTCTTTTTACGAGGAAGATCAATTTCTTTGATACCAAAAATACCTAGCAGATCTGACCCGTTATAGGAATCGGCAGCTAAATTCGCCAGCTGAGTTGTGTCTTAACGCTGGCATTAATGTACCTTCGATCAATTCAATAGGACTTCGAACTGAAGTTCTGTTCATTGTCAAGCTCAATGTGATGCCTCAATTGATAAGAGCACTTATGATTCTACCCGTAGGCTACATCGGATGGTCCTAAATCTAGCTACTCTTTAGGCTTGAACGTTATTGCATCTGACAACCCCAATATTATTGTAACTGATAGTTCTATCACTGCCATCCAAATGGTGCAGCTCATGGACACTTTTCCACTTCCTGCTGCCATTGCATAAAGGTAAAGGTTTAAAAGTTTTGGTTCAATATATTGGAAAGTAAGCTATTTTTAGGTTTTAAATTGTGTTCTATTTCGTAAAGGAGAGGGAACTCTGTAGAATAAAGTTTGGTTCCTAGTTTAGTATGCTGTCTTTGATTCATGACTATTGTCGTATTTCACCATATAATAGAGGACACGAGCTAATCCACTTCAGCTTTAACGACATTTTCATTCGGTTTGGTATTAAAAAACAACATAAATCAGCTTGATTCGCACTTGACATGTCACCTATTTAAATAAATTAGTCAGTAACTGTTCACGGCTATCCAGAGCTTCTTACCCCGTTTTGATGACTAACCAATAGAAGCACGCGATCAGTCAAACTAAGTGCTAAAAATGAAGAATTAGAACTAAGTCAAGTATATTCGTACTTGGATAAAAACCAACAGTTACTCGGTTTTTTGTCAGCTAAAATGGTTGATATGCATGACGTGATGAAAGCCAATACGAAAACAAGGAAACCTTCAGTGTTTACGCATTTACATTGAAGTTCCAATTCCGCATCCATTATACCAATTGGTGGCTTCTGTGGTTATGCTGATGATGATGGAGGATGAAGTTGTATATGCAACCAAAACGTCCATGAAAATGTCACTAACATATATGTACGTGTTCAAAGAGCATAAACAATAAAATGCCATGGGCGTGGACATGAATACACGTATGTTCAAATGTGATCGTGTAATCGAGCACGCATAAATAAACAGTCTGGTTTAGTGTCCTAAGTCTTAGTGACAGACTGCGCTTTCTCATCAGTACAGATGCTGTGTCACCATTATAAACACGCCAATGTATTCGAAATTTTGGGGATCGCATTAGTGGAATCGCTGTTTGCCTACAGATCAAAATACTAGTTAAAAGAGTCGATTTTAATGTATTAGCAACGTTGGAAGTAAATTGTTATTTAACTGCTCTTGCCTAAACATCCAAATATTTTCCTCTTACAGGTAGATAAGTAAAAATAATCATACACTGATGTTACGTCAAAAGGAAGGGTGGTGCCACTAGCACGTGAGAAGAAAACCTAACAGCCTGTTTGGGTGTCTTAGTATTCCGGTATGTTAAATCATGTTATGATCAAACTCTGGTTTCACCAGGACATTACTTCAGCAAAATACTAGATTCCTCTTCTACTTTTACGTTTTAAACTGTTCTGATTCTACTCATAATTGAATAATTGTTTGGGTAATCACCTCCGTTTATCTTCACAGTGAAAAGTAATTTTATCTGAATAAATTATTTTTTTTCAGCACTGCTGCTCAGGCAAACACACGCTTGAGGAGTTGTTTGGTCAGCGTAAACCAAAGATAATCTCGATAAAATTTAAGTCATAACTTCCCTCATCCAATCTGATTAATCGCCAAACGGAAATTACCTTGCTGTGGCGCAGTGTTCCAGTCGTTACCAATTCAGTGTTCACAGGTTATGTACTTGAGTAGTATAATCGGAGGCTTTCACAAGCAATTTACTTACGCAATAAAGTATGAGTCGAATGAATCCTAACAAGGGTGTAGAGTATTGCTTTAAACGCGGAGTCCTCAGAGTCAATCAAAATGGAATATCTTTTTATTCACATAAAAGGCTTTGCGTTATAAGGCCCTTCATCGGGATGCTGAGATGCGCTGGAGAAATCGTTGTCCCTGCCCGTTAGCTGCAACAGATTTATGTGAGCATCTACCCCACCAGATGTGTTTTTGAGCAAAACAAAAGATGATAGCCTATCAATAACCGTAATTCTGCGGTCGGTAAGGTGATATCAAAAAAACATGGAACTGCAGAAAAACTTTGCAATGCTAACTTTAGGTAAGTTAGCTGGATCTGAATAGTAATGGCAAATACCATTATGAAGGGGTGGATTACCTTCTTGGTGTAGAATGCTCTCCTGTTTTCTCGTGAGTTTTGGTCTCTTTAAATTCAGTGTTTTGAAAAGTGAACTGTCCCCGTTATAAGCATTGTAATTTTTGGCTTTTAATTCTTTAACTCCATTATTGTTATTGCTTTTGTTTCAGGCAAGTCATTGTGAGATTATAGACTCCTTAATTAATTACGGAGTTAGATATTTTATCTTTTCCTAGCATTTTTTTCCATATCCTGGTATCTGCGCAAGAGTTGCGAGGTGCATGGTTTCATGAAAACTCTACTTTGTTTTATGAAAAAGACAAACCCTTCCCATAAGGAGGCAATGGTCTGCTAAAAAAATCAAAGAAGGCGCAAATTATCACGAAAGTATTCTCACTGATCCCCGCAACTCCTAGCTGGTGACAAACAGCGTGTTGATGACTCGAGTTAACTGCTACTGGCAAATTAGAGTAAGCATTTTATTAACATAAGAACAAATGGGGGACTGCTTGAACACTAGTACTGTTTAAATATCGCTATTTTCATTGTAAGCTCCTAGTAAAGCCTTTGACTATATCTCCAATACCTTATGGCATTACCTACACAGCCTTGACCCGTTAGACAACACTACTGCACCCGGCGTCTCGCAACCTCCCTGTATCAAAAAGTAACTCAACTAAAGGATGCTTTAAAAATAAATGCATTGCAATGTTGAAATTTAAATCTAAAGTCGGACAAGGCTACCATTTTATGCAAGCATGCATGTAAAAAGATTTCCCTGAAGTTAAATTTAATCAAAGAGCTTATTTCAAAGTGCAAATTTCCCCGTATTTGCATTTATTCGTTAAACAATTTGGAGTAAAAAGATAGGCCTTTGCCTCTAACGGTATAGATTAACTCACTCATTACTTAGGCTCATTAGTGTCGTCTGATTCAAGGTCAGAGTCACTAACTGAATGCCAAAGCAAACCTGTCGATTCCATTTTAGTTTTTCTTAACACGGATAGTAAAATTACCCACTTGGAGACAAATAATGCATAAAACCACCTCTGGATTGCCCATCTTATCGCGAATCAAATTCAATCTCTGCATATTTAGTGCGAATCTTGCCAAGATTGAAATCACGTACGTACTTGATGAGACATTCATGGCGCTTAATGCGAACGAATAAATCAACATTGAGCATCGCAAACAACGCCCCTTTCGAATAGCGGAAGTCGGACTAAGTAAGAAGTAAAAATGTTGTACAAAAGTGAAACACTCGTAGTAACTTATCACGTGTACGTCGATATCTCGGTTTTCAACACATTGCGGGACGAGGGACAAATTTCCTGCTCATAATTGGTGAACTCGCAACATGTGACGACAAAAGTAAGGCAAACTAGCCATGCCTCGATTGGAGGAGCTCTAATGTTTTAGGATTGTTGAAATTGCATTAGGATGGAAAATGAAAATCTTTTGTCATGATTAAAAAGTGGAAATTACACATGTTATTCCACGAAGTCCTGTCATTAATTCCCCCTGTAATGCACGAGTCTATGGGTGGCACAACTCCTTTGTAAATAGCGTGAGTGCCACTCATGTGCAGGAATCAGGTTGACGAGGCGCCCAGATCCTCAATCAATCCGATCTTCTTTAGGTTGAAAATGAAAATCTCAACCGATAGAAAACGTAATCCTCACAACCAAATGCCGCGAATCGCGAGAACTTATGAGCTACTATTGTATAAGAAGAATACACTAGTGTCATGTCCCTTTTTTGATATTAAACCATCCTCTTGTGTTCAAGGCCATCTCGCAGATCCTTTATTTCGTAAAACTAATTAATTTTTTTAGGAGGAAAGTAAGAGGAGAATGCATAACGCATTTTTAAACTAATAAGATCCCTTGGAAACAAATATTGCCTTGTAAGCACCAGCGCTAAAATGATTCTAGTCATATCCTTAACATGAAATCCACCACCAAGCAGAACCCTCGCCCTCAACTCTTTAAAATAAAGTGCTTTCGCAAAAAGGGTATGGGGCTTTGCATAGACTTTGAATAAACTATCTAAAACTGGGCCGTTTGCTTATACAATTTGGCTACTTTTTCGTCCAACCTCATTTCGGATAGAGTAATTATTAGCAATTGCATGAAAAGGCCCTGTTATTCAATTCAAACTACGCTTGAACTGAATCTACTTTGTCAGTGCGGAACTTTATTAGAGAGGGAAAACAGGGCAATTTGTGTTTGTGTGCGTACAGGACCTAATCTTCACGTAAGTGGTCGGAATCCCCTTTGCCAATCACATTCAATTGACCTAATTCCATGCGAATTTGCGCGCACTTGGTCTAGGTCGTCGATACCTCGCTCAAAAGTTGGTGCATTATCAGTCGTAAAGTTGTGTAAAAGTTTTAACTAGATATGCCTTTATGAGGCCATCACAGCGCCTGCGATGCAAATAAAAAGAAAATGAATTATCTACCTGCCACTGAGACTTTTGAGAGTAATGCCTCAAGCATCGTAACACATTACACGATTTTAAAAGGCAAGCCCATGTATACATAGTTCTTATATAGTTCTGCATTATCCAAAACGGGTTTCAAATTTCGGCAATACATAAAAGTAGGTGTAAATTGTCGATTTGAAGGAATTGGGTTCTTTGACTTAAATTATGTGAATAACCTTTTGTGCCTCCCACGTTAAATGCGCTTCTTCAATAATAATTTCAGAATTATTTGCCAGCTTTAATATTTTTTAAAAATGCCAATATGCAAATTGGCATTTTTTCTAAATTTTTACTACCTGAACTACAAATTAATGGGCTGTTGCTCTTACCTAAGCATTTTAATAGTTGGTAGTGCTCATGGTGTTTGCATTGCGGGAAGGGTTACAGTCCACAAGGATCGATGAAAGCCGACCTGCATTCATGCTGCAGCCCTTCCCTCACATGCACCTGATTGGCGGCTAAATAAACTGGGTGCATGAGACACACGTCGATTGGTCAGCACGTTGGGGAGGCGAGGGCATTCACGGCTAGAGTGCTGACAGCCGCAGGGATCCTGACACAGGCGTCCCGACTCTGCTTCTGCTGTTACGCAAGAAGCAGCAATCGGACAGGCAACTAGTGGAGGCTTGTACACCGCCATCTGGAGAAGTACTGGGTGCGTGAGAGTGAGTGACAACTCTTGCTTCCTCTTTCCCTTCTTAGAGGGGAACCCTTAGTCAATCCTTCTTCCCATTGTAGCCTTAAGACAACATGGCCTCCGGACACCGAATGCCCGGATGGCATTTGGGAATTATGCTCATTTTGGCAGCCTTCTGTCTGCTGACCTCAGGTAGGTCATGGGTGACTCTATCGCACCTGTATCACTTGGGGCAAACAGGCGTTCTTTCTTGTCATTTCAACTGGCTTTATGCTAACTTGTCTAAATGTCACACTTGCATACTTCTTAACCTGTTTTTAGCATTTATTTTAACAGACATTGGCTCTTCGGGTTGCTCTAAAGGTGTTGGTTTGTGGCTAGATTCCCACTTTTGCACTTAGCAACTTACTCTCTTTGTTAAAGTTTCTTGTCAGTCTATACGATATCTAAACTTCCGTGCAGTGTCTATGACTCTCAATACCACAACATTTGAGTGAATTTTAAAGAAAACTAATTAGCAGATTACTACCAAATATTTGAAAATAATAAGGGTTAATTACATATTTTTGCAGTGGAATCATACTTTTGAATAAAAATGGCGCCCCAGATTCGATCCGACTTCTTACCATGTTTCTAAGCAAAAAAGGGATCAAATGGTTTAGTTTCATTACAAAGGTGTCATATTTTGTTAAATGTTGCTCCTTCCCATTGACAGATAATTCAGTGAAGCAAAACATTAATTCGGTTGTCATTTTTTATCTTTATTTCAGCTGAATCTATGTTCCGGTTCAGGCGCCAAGCGACGGACATTGCAGGTGAAGACATTAGTTACGGTGGAGCTGACTCTGAAGAGACCGACCTACCTTCTGAATATGTAAGTTAATGGTTTTCTTAACACTTTGATCAGTCACGAACTTTTCAATTTGCTTCCAGTATGGGAATAAATTCCAGTGTGATGCGAGCACCTTTACAAATTTATGAATTATCGTTCTAAAATAGCGCTGGCCTTTAAGCCTCTATTATACTATGGAAACTAAGACAGTTGTTATAATTCCGGTATGCGCTTTGTTGATGACATCTTTATTCATAAGGAGAGCCGTAAAATATAACCCAAATCTGCCATAAACTAATAATTAAATGAACTGAACAAAATGAGTTTAAGTCATTGAATTCAAGCACCAGATGAGAGACTACGATACTTTTGTCTCCTCCGTACAGAGCGTCAAGGGCCCTGGCCCCTACCTTCAAGGTCAGACCCTCCAAGGGCCCCGTGGCCCACCGGGAGAGGTTGGTCCTACTGGTGCCCAAGGTCCGCAGGGTCCACAGGGCCCCCCAGGTCCACAAGGTCCTCCCGGACCGCCCGGTAACGACGGTGCTCGGGGACCCCGCGGACCACCCGGTGAACCTGGTATCGACGGTACAAACGGCGCTGATGGCGAGCAGGGACCACCCGGCCCGCCCGGTCCAATGGGTCCACCAGGTCCCATGGGCATCATTGGAGCCACCGGAGTACAGGGTCCTCCCGGTCCTACGGGTCCCAAGGGTGAAAAAGGCTCTCCTGGTGCTGATGGTCCAATGGTGCGTCTCATACACTTACACTCCAGAAACCATTTCTGATCCTTTAATGATTTGGTTAAAAAAAAACACCATCATCATTCTGAGATTAGCAGCTATTTTTACTCTTTGCATTGTAGCCTTTTTTACCCTCAGGTATGTGAGTAAATTCTGAAAAATTTACAATTAAATGAGCATTCCACGTATCTATTTGAACAAGCTAGTGATTTAAATAAAAATATTTGTTGATTAAAAAACCCTCTGCAGTCCCTGTGGAGATATCCAAGTTAAAAACTGGCTATTTTATTTCAGGGTGAACGAGGCCCAGTTGGACCACGTGGTCCAGCTGGTCCCTCAGGTCCTCGAGGTCTAACCGGTCTCCCTGGTCCCCAGGGTCCGATTGGTCCGGTTGGTCTCCAGGGGGCAGATGGCACAATGGGTCCCATGGGTCCTCCCGGTCCTCGCGGTCCTCCTGGATCCGTTGGAATGACTGGTCCTGTCGGTCTCAAGGGCGACGCTGGAGAAATAGGTCCTGTCGGTCCCATTGGCGAAGCAGGTGAGGCTGGCGCTGACGGAGCTCCTGGTGCTCCCGGTGAGGCTGGAGAAATGGTGAGTTTAAGGATTTCGGACTTTTTTGTCAGATGATTTTTGGGGTGCTAAGACGTGCAAAAGGCTTTAAAACTATTACCATCCGCAAGGCTTTCCTAAAAATGGCTCCGACCTTTGCCTTAATCGTTATTTAATGAGCCTTTTGGAAAATTGGCATGTCGGTAATGCCATAATTAACAAAAAGGTTTTGAAAACTAAAAATTTTAATGGAAAGTATTTGTTTCAAGCAGATCAGTGTCCTTTTAGCTCAGTAGCATCAGTGATCTGAATTTTGCAATGCTTTTGATATTTGATTCTCCAGAGGGCACTTCAAAACTTATTGGGATATATTATACTTACAAGTAGTTCACATCGTTTGATTCCATTTCTAAAAGGTTTGTGTTATTAATGAAAACTAGTATATGTTCGACATCAAGGGGGTGGAACAACAGTATCCACATATGTTTGCATTCGCAGGGTCCCCCAGGTAAAGATGGTGCCATGGGTGGTAAGGGTGAGCAGGGTCCTCAGGGACCTGTTGGTGCTCCGGGTCTGGCCGGACCACGCGGTCCGCCTGGTCGAGCCGGTTTTCAGGGCACTCCGGGTCCTCGTGGTGAACAAGGTCCTCCCGGACCCCAGGGTCCAGCCGGCGCTCCCGGTCCCGCTGGCAGTATTGGTGACGCAGGTGAACGCGGTCGTGTCGGTCGTCCCGGTGATGCTGGAAAGCAAGGTCTTCGTGGACTTCTGGGTCCCACTGGCGAACGTGGTGACATAGGTTCTCCCGGTGCCCCGGGCATTCCTGGAACTCCGGGTAAGCTTATCCACTTACCTCCTAATTACGTGCGAACGAAGGTGTGTGTGGTGTATACTTTGTCCTTACTACGTGCTAATATTACTGAGTGGAAACACGAAAGCCTTCTTGTAGTCCCTATACGATGAAACCAAGCAAAAATGACACTTTATTATCTTTAAATAATTTTCTTTTGTAAGTAGTAGTGCGGTATGTTATTGCAGGTGCGATGATTTATCACTTGGCATCAGTAAATACTTTCGGAATGGATTTTGATGCAGTGTGATTCATCAAATTTAGACCTAATTGATAAGAGCATTTTGATTGCGGCTCAATAGGCATTGATGGTTCACCTGGTCAGCCTGGAATAGCAGGTAAGGATGGAGAACCCGGCCCTATGGGTGCCCGTGGTCCCCCCGGACCCCCTGGTCCTCCAGGCAAGCCCGGTGAAGCTGGTCCTCGTGGCTATCCCGGTTCGGCGGGTCGCGACGGTGCTCCAGGCCCTCGTGGTGACGTAGGCGAACGTGGGCCTGATGGGAAGCCAGGCGAAGAGGGTCCTCCCGGACCTGATGGTCTCACTGGCCAACAGGGACCGTCTGGACCCTCTGGTCCCTCTGTAAGTATCAAAAATTTGCTATATTGAGCTGAATCATGTCCTAGACATTCATTTAAAAATGTACTTTTAACAGGGGCCTCGAGGAGATCGTGGTCCATCTGGTGAGCCTGGTGATGCAGGCGATAAGGGTGAAAAGGGTAGTCGTGGTCCCGTAGGTCCGCGCGGTATCCGTGGGAAGCCAGGAGCTATTGGCGTCGAGGGTCCCACTGGTCCAGATGGTGAAGCCGGCCCGGAAGGTCCTACAGGACCTGCAGGACCCTCTGGACCTTCCGGACCTGCTGGAGGCCCTGGCAACAAAGGCCCCGCTGGTCGCGACGGTCAGGCTGGTGAGGCTGGCAATGTTGGACCACCTGGACCGCCAGGACCACCTGGTGCGCCAGGGCACATTGGGGAACGTGGAGATCCCGGACCTCAGGGCTACCCCGGTCTACCCGGTGCTAAGGGCCCAAGCGGCAAAATGGGACCGCAGGGTAACGTTGGACCTGCTGTGAGTCTTCTTGTGCCATTAAATCGCTTTTTGATAAATCATTTTTACCTCCTGTTCCATTTCACTCGTTTGTGGATTATTAAGAAGGAATTGTCAGTGCCTGAGGGCTTGAGAATGTTAAAATATGATTTACTCTTTTTTTTAATTTCGCTTAATAACTCTTACCGTCTATATTGAATAAACGAAACTATCAGTTATCATAGTATTTACCGTAAATAATGCCTTCCTCTTACCACTTTCTTATTTGAAAGAGCTTATAGGCGTGAGCAAATCTACGTAGTGCTGAACTCCTGGAATTACGCGTTTGGAAACCTATGTCAATTTTAGGGAGTTCACGGACCACCTGGTGCGCGTGGTCTGCCTGGACCTCGTGGTAGGAAGGGACCGAGTGGAAAGCCGGGTCGTAATGGTCCTCCAGGTCGTGATGGCAACCGAGGTCCACCTGGTATCCCTGGTGAAGATGGTCCTCGTGGGGCGACTGTGGTTCAAACTGCTGGAAGGATCCTCACTGGACCGCAAGGACCACCAGGAGACACTGGGTACACTGGCGCTCAGGGTCCCGTTGGTCCTATTGGTAGGGTTCCTCTCTACTCCATTTCACCAAGCATCCTCTTCGTTAGATTCAAGTACATTTTGCCTCTGTAGAAACTTAGGAAACGTTGCCATCTAAAATTCTTGCTTTATTCAATCTTTTCTATATGTTTTGCGTGTCAGTTTATATTTAAAATAAGATTTATAAACATGATTTTAGTAAACGATGGCTGAATGATCGTTAAAGGATGCATTTAGTAGTGTACATAATCTAATTCATTTGAAAAACTATAGAAGACTATAGTTTATTTTTTTAAACTTAATACAGACTTGTGAGTACGGTTTCACTGCCGTGTCTTTCCAGGCGCTCCCGGTGAAATGGGTCCTCCCGGTCCACCTGGAGCTAATGGAGAAGATGGCCCACCAGGTCCAGAAGGACCCCGTGGACGCGATGGTATTGATGGGGCTCCTGGTCGACCGGGTGTACGCGGTCGCCCTGGGCCCCGTGGAATTGATGGACCGTCCGGTCCAGATGGTCTTCCCGGTGATGATGGACCGATAGGTCCCCGTGGACCCGACGGAGCCATGGGAGCTACCGGTGAACGCGGTTCTGCTGGAGCTGATGGAGCCCCCGGTGAGGAGGGTGCGAAGGGACCTGTTGGCCCTGCTGGCCCCATCGGTTTCCGAGGCCCTTCTGGAAGCGCTGGCAAGGATGGCATCAAGGGTCCTGCCGGTGACCCCGGTCCTGATGGTCCTAAGGGACCTACTGGTCCTGCCGGTTCTCTGGGAGTAGATGGTCCACCCGGTCCCCAAGTATGCTAGATTCATACATGACTTTAACTGACTTTTGTTACTTATGGTCATGTTTAGAGTCTTTACATGTAAAAAAGACATGATCCAAACAATATGGGAACATGCTTTGCAAAAGCATTCATAGCCATTTTTGGTTTTACTTATACTTGTCCACTTTTGCGATTGGAAGCGCAGGTGGTCTGGAACCCAGGTTCTGGGGCATTTTGCTTTGACTTATAATGATTTAAAATGACTTTACTTTTGTTATTATAGGGCACACCGGGTCAAGCTGGTCGCACTGGTCCACAGGGTCGTAAAGGGCCTCCTGGCAAGCCTGGTGCACAGGGCAAGCCAGGCATAAAGGGAAAGCAAGGAAATGAGGGACCTCCTGGTCCCACCGGTCCACCCGGTCCTCCTGGACCTACTGGAGAGGCCGGCGAACCTGGTTCGATCGGTGATACCGGTCCTCAGGGCGTTCAAGGTCAGCCAGGTGAACGCGGTCCCCAGGGTCCTGAGGGAGAGGCTGGCCCACCAGGTCCTGATGGTCCTCAGGGCGTCACTGGCCCCATTGGTCCCACCGGTCCTGTAGGTGATCGTGGAGAATCTGGAGCTGATGGACCTGATGGACAGCCTGGAACGCCTGGCGAACCTGGTCCACGCGGCTACCCTGGTCGTAATGGAATCGACGGTCTTCCAGGTCGTCCTGGTAGACCTGGACCTACAGGCCACAAGGGATGGATGGGTCCCCCAGGCGACCCCGGGCCGAAGGGTCAACGGGGTTCCAAAGGACACACAGGGCCTAGAGGGCACCAAGGCCCAACAGGTCTTCCTGGAGAACAGGGCCCTCAAGGCTTTGAGGGGCCGATGGGCGAGATGGGATATCAAGGCGAACAAGGCCCGACCGGTCTCCCTGGACCACCTGGTCGCGATGGGCCCCAAGGTCCACCAGGTCCAGTTGGTAACCAGGGCCCTCCTGGACCCCCCGGACCACCTGCCATCACGTATGACATGGCCTTCAACGACGACACTGCCCAGGCTCAATATATCGGAACCGATAGTATTGACAAACCCGATGGCTCACGCAAACTTCCAGCGAGAACGTGCAAACATCTGGCGCTGGTTAATCCACACCTTCCTGACGGATTCTACTGGATTGACCCCAATGCCGGTAGCATCAAAGATGCAATCGAAGTCTACTGTCACATTCGGATGGGTGAGACCTGCGTGGCACCAAAGGCAGATGACTTTGAAGTCAGGTCTTACTCAGATATCAATATCGGTGAAGAGCACTGGTTTCATGAACTCCAGGGCAGTAAACTGGTGGGAGCGAAACTTCATTGTCTATTTTATTGAATCATACTTTCATACATTCGAATTTTGAAGCCTCTAAAACTTGGAGAATAAGTCCGATGATAGTGTTGGTAAGGGAAAATAATAAAGTCAAATCACTGATGGACTAATCATAGCCGTATCCACATGGTGTGACACAAAGTATTATATATCGGTTTCGATCTTAACCACTTTGCTGCATAGTGTTAAAGGTCGAGCCATTTATATTACTTTTAAATAAAAATTATAACGATGGTAGTCACCGGTAGTCCCCGGAATGTTACGGACTCAGTTCTTAGCAGAACCCTAGCTTGCGAATTAACGTCTATCTACTTCATTAAGATGCTAATCTCCCCAACTCAGCATGTCTCGTAATTAGAGAAGTTAATATGTTGTGGTAGTTACCAAGAATTAGTGTGTACCATAAGGAAAAAGACTCTTCTAGTTATTTACCTTCTCAATGAATAATTTTTCCGTTTTTTAGTTTGAATATAATGTGCCCGAAGATCAGTTGGCCTTCCTGAAGATGCTCAGTACAAAGGCCAACCAGAACGTGACGGTGGTGTGTCGTCAATCTTCGCAAGAAGAGGCGCGCCTCATGTCTGACAACGACCATTATTTCTTGCGCGATGGAGAGCTCTTCCGCTACAACGTCCTGCGTGACGAATGTCAGGTGTCTGTTCATTAGATGGTTTAACCATTCAACAACCACATTTCCATCCAGCACTGGAACTTAGTGTTGGGCGATCAATGCTTTGCTAAAAAAGAAAAAATTAGCGAATATTTTGTACTCCCGTAAAGTCTTTAGCTAAATAGCCTAAGGAAAGATACGGTGCGTGTGCTACTGAGTGTAGCCCTTGAACGTTGGTTGTGGCGTTGTAGTACATGAAGGACAGCTACGGCTACACCGTGATGGAGGTGGTAAGCCGACCACAGCGGCTCCCAGTGCGTGACATCTCTTTCCGCGACGTGGGCGGATATTCAAAGGAAGTGGGGGTGAGACTGAGCCCCGTGTGCTACGCTTAGGTCATAGTGACCGTGCAGCTACCAGTACGACGACAACAGCATCCAGACCAACCGGGGCGATAGAATTTTCATTTTTTGTCTTTCCTTCTCTCTCCTTCTTCCTGTCCACCTTCATTTACGTTTAAGCGGGCCTTCCTAAAGAAATGTTTGTCTCCAATTATTTTTCTTCTTCCCACTTTTCCTCCTATCTGCTCTTGCACATCTTTATTATCCATCCCGTGATTCTGGTGTACATTGACGTTAAAATAGGTGTTTTTGGCGCAATAAAGTGAAAGTGCAACAAAATCAGTTTATTTCTTACAGCTTTTTTTTAAACACAACCTAACAATGCAGAAAGTAATGTTCATGCGGTTGTCATTATGAAAAATGGGATCATTGCAGCCCATACTGATCAAGCAAACATTAATCACTACGTATAGTGATAATCGTAAAGGAAATTAAGGTATAAGGAGAAATAAAGACATTTGTCGCTTGCTTGTCTGATTTGCCAAGTTGGTGGCCTATTTGTCCTGTGATAAAATAATACAGCCTTCATACAAAAAAGTACAAAATAAGAAATTGCTAATGAAAAAATGACAATGCTAAAATAATGTGAAAAATTAAGCTTTCCCGCTTTCGGCATTATAAGAAATCTATTTAGCCAGTATCTCGAAGGTTGCTCTGTGTTCAGATGCATCGATGTCTGCACACACCTCTTCGATTAAGCAAAAGGGCAACCGGACTTTGCTTACATATTACATGTGCTATTCCCTGAGGGGTTAGAGGGTTTTGTCTTCAACGTGGTATTTGGACCTATTTATAAGGGGAATGTAAGGAAATTCCCTCCAGAAGCTGTTCTTACTTTTTATAAGGAAAAATTTGCAAAAAATGATTCATTTCCAGTAAAGGCAAGTAGATGAATGCAAGAGGTGCTCAGGGGAAAATTTGGCTCGTCCAAATCGCTGATTCTCTTCAAACATTACCCCACGTGGAATGAACATAATGTTAGCAATCTCTTCGCATACCATGACCTCTACAGCATACTAATTAGAATTCACATTTACAAAGCGCAACGTTCAACGAAGGTAGCAAAGTAACCTCACGCATCTGAATATACGTAATTAAGTTTAGGAAAATGTGTAGTCAGAGTTTGGTATATCTTCAAAACAGATTAAGTAACTAGCTAATCAACTAAACCCCATGGATTAAATAATCTTCCATGCAAATATTTGAATATTACAATTCCATATAAACGTGACTTGTAACAACGTAGTCAAAGTAGTTACATTGTAGCACCCCTAATCCTTGCTGAAGTCGTAATACTTCAAAGTAGCGTAGAGGAACATTAGTAATTCTTTGATTTATTGTTCAACTATGTGTTTGGATTACGCGAACACTTAAGGATCCTCCATTGTACCTTTACTGGGCGTCATAGCCCCCGCTCAATGCCAGCAGCCTCGCAGCCCTCATGTGCGTCAGCAATATATCTTCCACCCTAGTAGTACGACCTCCTACGGCTTCAAGGCAGATTGGGAGCACCACACGTACACCACTAACCTACGGAGAAGCCAAAAAAGGCTATTGGCACTGCCTGAAGTCCATACCACAGCAGTAGCTCAATCTACTGTAGCGTCCCGAGACTCCCTGAAGACGAAAGAAGACACAATACTCGGGCGGAACATACATATTCAGCACAGAGAAGGTGTCTGGGCTATTGGCATGGCCCAAAAGGCCAGCCCACCCGGCGAAGTACAAGGGGGCTATTTCAAAGTACAAAAGTCGCGCCTCACTAAAACCGAGGGATAAACCACTATCGTATTACACTACGATGGCAGAAGTATTCGTACAGACAAAAACACTGTTAGACAAAACAGCAGAACATGATCTTGTGATGTGTTGGCTGTATGGTTAACGGTTGGGCTACTTTATCTTGACCTTTGGGCCATGCCGGTAGCCCTAATACCTACCGTATGTCGAATATCTATGTATCACCCAGGTATTGCGTCTTCTTGTGCCTTCAGGGAAGTCCCGGGATGCTAAAAAAACAAACAAATTTAGCATGCTGGACCAGCAAAAGGAAAAGCTGTTCTTGCGATAATGACCCACCTGCTCAAGTTCTTCAGATCACATAGGTGGCCCAAATATTTGTGAATATCTGTGATATTCCGGTTCATTCCTTATGCCACTAATGCAATCGTACTCAAGCGCTATGCAGTCCTATTCAAAATCTTACAGTAAAAACGGGTATACATTGCAAATTTATTGCATTTTACTGACAGATGACTTCCGATGCGAAAATAATTGTTAATGCATCGTCATTTTAGTGAACGTCCTGAGATATGGGCTGGTTAACATTGCGCTTGTCCAAGGACTTTAAAGGCTTAAAAATAATTTTGTGGTCAAACTAGGCATAGTCAAATAATTTCTCTAACTTTGGTTCCATATAGCCACCAATTCTCTAGACCCTATATCTTGTTTTAATGCATAGGACCACAAGTCTAATTGGTTGGGGCTGCACGGGTTTTCGAGTTTGTCTTCTGGATCTGCAACTTTGTCTAGTGCATTTTACAAATTCTTGCTTTCCAACGACTTGTTACGAGTCTTCAAATTTATTCCAATTTTGATTTCACATTTAACTTAACATTTGGCTTACTGGTTTCTGGGTCTCGCTCATCGGCTTTTTCTTGGGTATGTCCTCTTTCTCACATTAGACTTTATTCATCTCATTAGTCACAGCAATGTTGCATAGGTTTCTATTCCTTTAAATTTAGCGATGTCTATCGATTTGGTGAGTCTTCTGCGTATTGTAGAAGATATGCCGTCGGGGGTTGCTGATGACAATGCCGTTCAGGAACTGCGCAAATACCTTTCTGCTCCAGATAGTGCATTTGAGTCTCTCAGTTCTCAAACAATTTTTTTGTCTAAACTAGCTGCCAAGCTCTTTTCAAACCCAACATTGCCTTCCTGTTATGATCTTTTGTTATTCGCTACATCAAAGGCTCGTGCTGACATCTGGTTTGAGGTGCTTGTCTTGCGCCTACAACAAAATGGCTCGCAATCTGCGGAAACTAAGCTTTGTCTCAGTTTGCTCTTGAAGTACCTTCTTGAATTTCGACGCCTTCCTCAACTTTTGTTTGCGATCAATGACATGGCGATTTGTATTTCAAGTTCAGTTCGCTACGCCTTCCTCGTTGAAAAAACTCGCCGCCTTATAAATTTGCCCACGCTTATCACCAATTCACTTAAGACCACCATTTTCCCGCGTCCTTTTGAACCGAAAGTTTATTTCCCTTTAATCATACGACATGCTACTGAAGTCACTTATCCCCTTCTCAACGCCGTGCTTATTTCACAGTCATGTTTGTTGGGTTTTGGTAAAGAGGTTTGGAGCGCAATTCTGCAGCAAGTTTCTCGTTCAACCGAGAGCTCAAACACTTGGAGTCGAGCGCTTTCTCTAATTCAAGAAAGGGCCTTGGAAGCAACTTTGGTTCCTCTTCTTAGCCAAGCATCTCATCCCCACCTGGTCACGCTTTGTCTTTCTTCCTCTCTTCGTTCTCCAATGCAAAATCGACTGTTTCGTCTGTTCCATCGTCTCCTGATCTTTCGCAGATTTTCCTCTCCTCGAGTCCCAATCAACATATTCGGCTTTCTAAGCGAGAATGCTACCGCTGATTTGATTACACGAGTTGAAAATGACCTGGGTTTACATCTACTTCAATGTTGGTCAGATTCGACCGCTCTGCGAAGTACTTCTTCGCAAAATCGTATTTACTTAAATCAGGCGCTTGTCACCTGGGTCAGTGCCTTTCAAGATTCTATAATTAACTCCCCGTCCTACTCCAAAATGATCTCCTATGTACTACACGGAATAACCGTACATTTAGCTTGCAATTTTGAGGAGCAGAGAGTGTTGGGGATGGCTGTTGGTGAGTGGCTAATAGAGCAGTTCCATATCGGTAGAAAAGGGATAGCTGACGAAAATCTACAAGTACTCAAGTTTGAATATGTGGAGAACGGAGCCGTAAAGCTTGTGAAACCTTTATTTGAACCCATTCCACCTTATCAGCTTCCTGAAAATCAAGTGGACGAGAGTAAGCGATTTGGTTGCCAATCCGCCTTACAGGACATTTCTAATAATTATTTACTAGGTGTAGAGGGGCTTTTCGCCATTGCTCCAAGTGTACGGCTTACAAATACTACGACGAAAGCCAATGAAGTGGATAGCGATGACGATTTAGAGGAAAATGAAATGAGTGCGGGGTTTCAACCACTTCCAGAGTACACAACATCTGCTCCCTGTGGCTGGCCCTTCCGTGCTCGTCGCCCACACTACCTTCGGGAGTGTCTTGACGGTCTGGGAGGCGCTAAACACAATCCCGACGATATTGCAAGCAACGAGGTAGCGCTATCTTGTTTTGCTCACGCAGAGGAGCTTATTTATCGTCACTGCGGTGGTGCCGTGCATGAAGTTGCTGCCATTTTCGCGGACACCTTGCTCCACACCGAGCCCCCCATCTGTCCATACATCGAGGAGGTGAACGCCTCGCGGCACCGCGCTCTCGTTGCCCTGGCGGTGGTCTCGCCCCGTCGAACGGTCCATTACCTCACTGGACAGTTGATGCAGTCCGGTCTTGCGGTTAACCAGCTCTCTGTGGTCATCGCGGCACTCACTGATGCTGCATGCTGCCTCGGTCCCAAGTTCACCCCCGTAGCCGGAGACTTTTTCTTTCCCACTCTCCGAGCTGCTGGCGTCCTGCTTAAGCGCCAACCTGACGTTTACGCTCATCTTGACGATGCTGTGTTAGCTCGACTTTTGACCTCCCTTGGGGTCATGTATGCTTGTGGACGCAACTCACCCATGCTTCCGCGAATGGCAGAGGAGCTTTTGACTCTGAGCCCCCTTATCTTGACAAATTCGAGTGATCCCGCTGTGCGGAGATCATTCCTCTCCACTCTAAATGTTATGCTCACTATCACGCCCCCATCTGTGTTCACCGCAAACCATGAACTCTTGCTTATCCCCCACTTGGCTGGTGAACTTGTCAAGACACTTCAAGGCGATCCTGATTCGGGTTGCCAGCATATGGCGGAAGTTGCGCTCTGTTTCTTGCGCGAACACGTTGCTGAGTTGATTGGTGTTGATTTCAGTAGCCTTGTATTGAAAGATTGATCTTGGCCTTCCTGTCATTTTCCTTTACAATACATTGTATATATTTGCATACTCTGGTGCTTTCCTGTTCATTTATTCGTTGCAGTTTGGTAATTGTATTTACATGCAACAAATTGTTTATCCTTGTTGCCATTTGTTCAAAGTCGTATGTGGTGGAGTTGGTTTTGGCAACAAAAGATGTAGCTTAGAAGCTCTAAACGAGCAACTAGCTGCCACGTTACACATTTTATCTCCTGCACTTTAAGTACAAATTGGTCATCACGGGATTCGGAGTCATCCATGCTAGTGTTCTCTTGCATATTCGGAAATGACCTGCCGTGCAGCTGAATGGAGCCCAGAAGCATGGAATGTGACGAGCCGATTGAGGTAACGCCAGGCGTTCAGGCCACTGAGGATAATGAGGTGGTTGAGCCTCAGGTTTGCGGAAGGCCGCACACCCCTCCTCCTCAGCCCATCGTTCATGTGGAGGTTTGTCTCACCCGTGGTAGCACTGCATCGCGGGCCGCCGTGTGCCAAGCGGTTGGAATGCACCTACGGACCAAACAAGGCACCTGCAATCTTCCCGCCCTTTGGGAGCACGTCTTCGTCTGTACTTCGTCTTCTGAGCAGACATTTTTCAACGAAAACATTGCCTCAATCGGCGTACGTTTTCATTCTGCCATCAACAGTATAAAATTTTAGTGTTCCCTAATTTGACTTGAAGTCTACAAATTTGCTTTGAACTCGACACGGTAATTTGTTTACTTGTTATACCGACGTTCCATAACTAGGAGAAAATGTTAAAGGTGGCGCTATGTTAGTCAGATCCGCAATAATGGAACAATGTTGAAACAGCTTCTTCTCTAACATTATCCTGAATTTGCATTCGTTGCTTCTAAGTGGTAGAAATTCCGTCAAGCCACTGATGAATAGCTTCTGGACCCGATTCAAAATTATAACTTACTATGAGCTTTGAATGGGGCCGGTTATTGAATTTACGGAGGCCTCATGAGTTGTATTGCTCTCACTTCAGAAGCCGAATTTTTTAGCTGAGGTCCACGCTTGTTATAGTTGAGCACGGAGGACACGGATTGTCCGTTAGGCAGAGAATCGGTAACACAAACGGTCGTGCATTTGGAGACGGCGCCACTGGTGTATCACGTCTACCGTCTGGTCTCAGGTGATGAGGCGGACCCCACCCACGAGACCCTCGAGGTCTCCTCCGAGGTCATTAGAGGGGGCACTCGATGGGCTCTGCCCTCTTCCGCCTTTGATGGACTTTGGGACACCCTCGTCTACGACTCAAGCGTTAAGAGGGACCTCCTCAAGTACGCCGAGTCCGCTCTCCTCTTTGCCGATTATGAGGTACCATCCATATCTCTCTCCCTTTCAATAATCCTTTTCGGTGGTTTAGTGAATTTAGACCATGTTCCACACGGAGTCGACTACTCTAAAGTGTTGTTATATGTCACGTGTCTTCATTTTTATTTTCACGAATTAATGAGAGCCTATATTGGTTTTACTCTCCTGAGTTCTTTCCCACGATTGGTGGTCGCGACTCGTGCTTCTAATGGGCTTGAACCTTAATACCTCCTCATCAAAAACTACTTAAAATATCTGCCTGATTACCTTAAGTCACCTTTTTTTCCGTATTTAATGTTATTTCTGTCCATCCAAGGTGAGCCAGCACGTGATCGCTTGGAATCGCGTTATCTTTCTACACGGTCCTCCAGGAACCGGTAAAACATCCTTATGTCGTGCCCTCGCGCACAAGCTTTCCATCCGCCTCTCTCATCGCTTTACATCGGCAGCGCTGATCGAGATTAACACGGTCAACCTGATGTCAAAATGGTTCTCCGAGTCTGCTCGCCTCGTCTCCCAGATGTTTTCATCGATTTTCGAGTATATCGAAGATCCCAACCACCTAGTCTTTCTTCTCGTTGACGAGGTAGAGAGTTTAACCGCTGTACGAAAGTCTGTAGCCTCTGCTTGTGAGCCCAGCGAAGCTCTCCGTGTTGTCAATGCAGTTCTGACTCATTTGGATCAGGTTTGGTGACTTCTCATTTACTACGCTACTTATAACATTTCAGTCGCAATAGCATTGCTAATTTGTTCTTAGCTCAAACACTATTCCAATGTCCTCGTGATGGCGACCTCGAATGTGACCGGTGTGGTGGATCCCGCATTTCTTGACAGAGCAGACATTCGTGCCTACATCGGGCCCCCTTCAGCTGTAGCCATCTACTCTATATATGCCTCCTGCCTAAATGAACTCATTCGGGTTGGTCTCATAGAACGCCAAAAGTCTGGCCTGCTGAACTATCGCGTTCTGTCAGCATTGCAATTCGTTGAGAGTTCAGTAAGTTTGTTTTCCATTGGTAGCGATTTATACAGACCGTAAATATTTGCGGTAAATAGTTTCTGTCGCACACTTGCAGTGGGAAGTATGAATGAAGTTTTGATCACAAAAGCAAGCTACGCTCTATCATCCAGACCTTTATAACAACTCCACTATCATTACGTTTTATTAATATTGCAGCATATCGTGAGAGCTGATAATGTAGTAACTCGTTCAAAGTAAGCATCACATTAATATTACCTTTGATGATCTGATGCTGCTGGGATTGGAAAGTATCTGCGAGTTCGTGGGGCAATCCGGTTCTGCCATATTCAGTACGGTACAACTTTATTCGATGTTTAATGATGGATTGTATACTTTCTGTCGCAGACTTTCGATACGCAATTATTGTGTATGTAAGAGGATTTGCGATGGCTTATTATCGGTCTCTCGATTTATTTTCCATGAAATGGATCCAAATGAAAAGAATATTGATTGAAAGCAAATTATTGTTAGAAAAGCCGTAACAATCTTATTCATCAGATGTAAAATTACAAAGAAGAAAAAAAGAAAAAACCTTGGCCGATGTTCTCTAAGAATAAAATAATGTTCTTAAACTCCCCAAGTTTTCGCATGGGATACTGTTCCACAAACTCATTTTCCACTTAAAATGACACTTAATTTTTCCTTTAGTTGATTGCAATCCGTATAAACTTTGACGCAGAGCCCAAAGATGTTTCAAGAAAGCACTCTCATTACACCTGCAAAAATTGATAGAAATGCGTTGCAAATGAGGTAGCTTGTTTTGAGAATGAAGTGAAATTGGAATCATCAAGGCATCTTTGACATTTTTTCTATTGAAGTAAAATTTAATCCAACTGTCTTAATTTCTGTCCGACGAAACAATGGTCGTCCTAACAACCGCACTTGATAACATTGCTGGTGGCTACGGGATATGTCTCTATGCCGATGTTTTTCACAAACTCAGGTAACCGCACCAAGTTTGGGAGTGTGGCGTTTGGCGCAGCGCAGCGTTGGCCTTAATGGACGAGCACTGCGGAAGCTGCCGCTCTTGGCACACGCCTTCCATATGGACTCCAAGTACCACCCTGGTCAAGTTCCCCTTCTGGCTAACCGATGGATTGCCAACAACGCCGACAGTGAGAATGTTCCTCCCCCACAGGCCTCGACATCAGGCTCAGAGAGAAACGCCTCGTCCGCCGTTCCCCTTTCGGTTTTCGTCGAAGCGCTCCAACGCGCGGTGGATTGCCACTTTTCTGATCAACCGTTCACCGCCGAATACATGGGCGAGTCGAAATCAGGTGCAAGAATGAAGGGGGCTGATTCTGGTAGCCCTCCTGGTGCCAACTCTACCACCTCTTCAGTCGTGGTCAATTTCACTTGACTGCACACTCAGTTGTTCCGTTTGAATTACTTATAAGCATTTTTGCTAAAAAGTACACTAGGGTCAACCACCACTTGTTTCGAACGCTTCAACAAGGCTTCGGATTTTTCGGCTTTCGTCTGCTCAATAAATTATTCAGCAAAATTCTGTAGGAAAGTTGCATGCAATCTCAAATGACATTATTTGTACAACAGGCTTTGTTACAAATGAGAAGATTCAAGCAATGGAGAAGCAATTTTCCAAAATATTACTGGGATTTTTATCTTGTAATAAAATTCTAACCTACTTAAGCTACAGGATTAATTGAAACTAGGGTCACGATCTTGAAGTGGAATGTTTGTGTGGGTGACGGGCGCCACAATCTTGAGCAAATGGCGTAGTGTCACTTATACACGTCTTCCTTCGGTAGATTTCTCAGTTAGTTCAGGATCGTATATCCATCTTTTATAGAAAATGGCAAGTTAAGGTACGGTTTCGGTTGCGTGAACCTCGAGTACGGTGGAGCATGCACTCTACCCTTCGATCAGGACCGTATTTATCATGTGGAAAGTGTGTCTAGATGTGAGTTTGATGTATATAACTGGTCTGATAGGATTGATTTTGCAAAGTGGATGGTTATTTTCATCTGTCAGGCGACCTCTTCTATGTATGCGTGTTTGGTAACGTGAGGCCCACTTCATCTCCTGGTTGTACTGGTGAAATTAATGTTTAGATCCCTGGTGAGTTTTAAATGTTAAACGCCTGCACTTTACAAGTTTCGGTCTACTTGAGAGTTAATTCTGTATTAAGCACCATGGTTACAGTGGCTACTGGCACCTGTGTGGGTCACGTTTATTGGCTCAGCCTATCCCAATGCCGATTGGAGGGCTTCGAATGTGGAGAATAGTTGACATGACAAAGTGCCTTATAAGCAGGAGCGATGGCTCAACAATCGCGCAACCGAAGTCAAAATCATTTACGACAGCCGCAGTCTCTTGAATCCCTCTATAAAACCACTCAAAACTTCTGTAATAGCATTCAAAGAACACTAGATACAGTATGTCAGCAATGCATGCGTCTCCACATCAATGCGGAGGCCGAACGTAACAGTGAGGTTCTGGAGCGCATAAATGCATTCAACGGTGATTTGAAACTGGATGCATTATCAGATGTGCAGTGTCAACTGCTAGTTGAAGATCTTGATTTAAATATCAATGAAAATGTCGTGATAGGAATTGTTAAGTTACTTCGTGATCTTGAACTCTTGCGGAAAAGTGCTGCTATCTTCTTTTCGCTTTTCAGTAAGCGCCTCTCTTCAATGCTGGATAACGGTGTCTACGTCTTCTGTGTTAGTCTAATCGAACTCACTCAAGTAAATGTGAATGAAGTTACCGAGTACAATGATTTCATTTCCAAACAAAGGAGTGAACTTACCGAGGCTGCTAATCGGATCTGGCAGCACCGGGATAGATGGAATAATCTAACAATGGACATACAGTCGACGATGAACAACTTGGAAGAACTGAGAGCCTGTTTAGAGGATATTCAGGGGGAATGGAATAAAATAAAAGTGGAGACCAATAAATGGATTAACCAGGACCGCGAATATCCGACCCGCTTGACCAATTGCATCAACCAACACCGGGAGACGATGCAAGATCTACTTCTTGAAATTGAAGTGATCTCTGAGTCAGAACAACAGAAAACAGAGGAACGTCGTCATCGTGGACTCCGAATGGAGGCTCTTCAGAAACGCCGCCGGGAACTGTGCAATAATCTGAGACTTGTCC